GAACCCCAGAGAACCCCAGTGAACCCCAGTGAACCCCAGTGAACCCCAGAGAACCCCAGAGAACCCCAGAGAACCCCAGTGAACCCCAGTGAACCCCAGTGAACCCCAGAGAACCCCAGAGAACCCTAAAAAAGTCAAGTGTTTGTGTTGATGAATTTAATATTTATCATATGGGGTGACTGTGAAAATGTATAGGATTACAAAAATAACATTAAAAAATCCTAATAAAGACCTTTTAAATTTTCTTTTAAATGTTTTGTGTTTTTATTGTTTTTCTCACTTTTATTAGTGTGCTGTTATATACAAATAGATCAGCAATGAACTCAGCTATAAATGTTCAAGACGTCGGTTTACGTAGTATTAAGTTAGCATCGAGCAATATACAGATAACAAAGGTGTTTTTTTTTAAAGAATGTGGTTTTATTATGCATTTAATAGGATTGTTCATGATTAATCGACAGCTAACCTGTGCTTAATCAGTATTAAGCTTATTTAGTCATTGAAGCGATCTTGTGTGTTAGTCAGAACAGATCAGTGAGGATTAGTGTGACTGACACCGACTGGCTGGCTGCAGTAACACTGTACTCAGAAAGATGTCATTTGAGTGCAGACAGCCGTGAACAACCAAACTGTCACTTTTATCTTTAAAAACAGTTGGAGAAAACTACGTCTGAGCATCATCAAGTTCATCAACTGTGCTAAGACAAAGAATCTCTGTGTCACTGGGCATGTGACTAAAACACCAATATATCACCAACACCAATAATACAACGGTGAACACAACCGTGCACGTCACACTCCAGCGCCTGCACGTTCTGATTCAGTTAGAAAAGAAAACCTCGTCACCTTCACTGCAGTTCACTGCAGGTTAAAGACATTAACACACAGCACAGCAGAGAACGCAGAATAAATCTGGGTGTGTCTCAGTCTCAGTCAGCCATAACCTCTGCCTAACCGTGACCCCTGCTGATCAGTTTGTGAAACTGCATCATCATTTCTTTGAGGTAAACGTGACAAGGATAATCAACTTTCGCAAGTGGTAATCAATAAAAATCATTTTTATCATTTTTTAATGTTTTTTTTAATTGTTATTTTTCCTGAACAGATGATTCAAAAAGTCCTGCGTTAGATGGCACATTAAGGTCAAATTAATTCCATACCTAATTTTGGTTTTTAGTTCTGTCATAGTAGGGACACTCAGTTACCTTTATTACTTAAAAAAAAAAAATCATTGGACTTTTGAAAGGATAGCTGAGGGTGGGGGGACTCAACAATAATCTCCAAAAGGGGGCGCTGCAGAAGAGGTTTGGGAAACAGTCCAAACTGGTTCTTAAGTCTGTGCCCTTTTTATTCGCCTCAAAGAAATTGAATTTTCTTGACTTGCTGTGGGCAAAAGTTAAAGAGGAAACACAAAAAAAAACCCAAAAAAAAAAAAAAACCCAAAAAAAAAAAAAACCCAAAAAAAAAAAAAAAGGAAACACCAAAAAAAAAAAAAAATCATTGGACTTTTGGAAGGATAGCTGAGGGGGGGGGGACTCAACAATAATCTCCAAAAGGGGGCGCTGCAGAAGAGGTTTGGAAAACAGTCCAAACTGGTTCTTAAGTCTGTGCCCTTTTTATTCGCCTCAAAGAAATTGAATTTTCTCGACTTGCTGTGGGCAAAAGTTAAAGAGGAAACACAAAAAAAAAAAAAACGACTTTTGAAAGGATAGCGGAGGGGGGGGGGACTCAACAATAATCTCCAAAAGGGGGCGCTGCAGAAGAGGTTTGGGAAACAGTCCAAACTGGTTCTTAAGTCTGTGCCCTTTTTATTCGCCTCAAAGAAATTGAATTTTCTCGACTTGCTGTGGGCAAAAGTTAAAGAGGAAACACAAAAAAAAAAAAAAATCATTGGACTTGTGAAAGGATAGCTGAGGGGGGGGGGACTCAACAATAATCTCCAAAAGGGGGCGCTGCAGAAGAGGGTTGGGAAACAGTCCAAACTGGTTCTTAAGTCTGTGCCCTTTTTATTCGCCTCAAAGAAATTGAATTTTCTCGACTTGCTGTGGGCAAAAGTTAAAGGGGAAACCCCAAAAAAAAAAAAAACCAAAAAAAAAAAAAAAAGGAAACACCAAAAAAAAAAAAAACAAAAAAAAAAAAAAAGGAAACACCAAAAAAAAAAAAAAAACGGAAGTACCAGAACGGAAGTACCAGAATAAAAGAGATTTTTCACATATGTCATAGTTCCTCAAATTTGGCATTAAACTGTAGACGGTGTTAAATAACCTAAACGCATGCAAAGTTTATAGGAAGTAAATACTGTAGGTGCACAGCTCTGCAGTGCAGCTAAAGGCTCAGTATTCATAACCACATTAGTCTGTTCCATTAGTGGCTGGGTGGATGGAATACCTGCACACAGACTGAAGCTGAAACACAGGATTTTTTCTTAACAGAATAAAATAAACAAGTATTTTTGTGAGTGTTTGCTGCGTACAGTACACCATTTACCCTTAAATGAACCGTCCAGGGTCTGGATGAGGACGTTTTCTCAAATATTCCACTGGAAACAGCCTAAATGATTCAAGCTGTTCCCAAAATAACTGCTGAGTTTAATAGTTAATGAAAGCATAAGAGAAAGGTAAGACCAGGACTGGTTATTATCGCTGAAGTGGCACAAACACAGCCACACACACACACACACACACACCTAATGCCAAACATGCACAAAAAAAAATCACTGAAAGTGTGAAAAATCCTCACCTCTCGTCACCTCCTCCTCATTTGTAACGAGCTTCAGAGTCAAAGTGGTAAAGAGTGTTTTTGACTCCTCCAAGTGTCTGAGTCTCCAGCTCTGTGCCAGCTTCTTATCAAACCTTCCCTTCTCTTGGTTTTCTGGATTAAATCCAATGAGCTGCAGTCACTCTGCTCTTCTCCCTCATCTTCGTCATGTCCACACGCCCCACAACTATCCCAGGCAGATGTTCACAGAGCACAGACAGAGGGCTACTGTTGGCCCGTGGCAGACTATAAATAGGCTGCTGGAGTTCATCATCGTCTCTTCCAGTGATGGTAGGAGCCTGTAGGGCTTGGAAAGAGAGAGAGAGAGAGAGGGAGAATGGCAGAGCCAGCATCAGCACTTTGAGGCATTGTTTCCTGTCTCATATCGACTAGTCTTCATATCACTTTCCCCTTCTCCGTGTAGATATCTGAGCTGCACTCACAGCACTAATGTCCACGATTATTCAAAAAGAGAAATACAAGTCTATGACAAGGTCCTGTATGTGAAGCAGTATCATCAGGAGTGGCTTCAGAAACACTATTCCATTTAAAAGTTACAACACTGAACACAAAATGTAACATTTATATCATATGTGCCCTTTAACCAAAAGAACTTTAAACATGATACCTGCAAGCCACTTAAAAGTTGGACAAAAGTTAAGTGAAGAAAAATAACGTTTGCATTTTGTAATTTTTATGAACTATGAGATTTGTCTTCAATATCAACCAGATCTGGACTGCAGGCACAGGCTACAGTCATTTTCTAATGCAACCCCTGCAGAATGTTGTCACCATTGATTTGTTCTTCTTGTTGTTGAAGCCAAGGAGTTTTTATACTTTTTGAATGTCACAGAGCACGAGGTCAGGAGTGTAAATGTCACTGATGTCCGTTTACAGTTACGATGTGTATAAAGTCTTTCAAGGCAAAGAAAATATAAATGTGTGCACACATATTTGTGTATATATATAATTATATATATATAGTTGTACTACAAATATCAGCTACTTGCTATGACCCTGTGCGCAGACTACCTCACAGACTAACTCGTGTCACAGCCGTGCATCATCTGTCTCAGTAACTCCCAAATGTGCTGTGCTGAACTTCTCACCACTTTCTCCTCCTCACTCTCACTCCCTCTCCAACATTCTGTGCCCTCACGACTCCTCCCTCAGTCCAGCACAGCGTCTCAGTCTCAGACTCACTTCACTCCCCTTCATCAGACAAGCGTCTCCTATCAACACCTCTTCTTTCCGGATCACTGAACAAGCACAGAGGGGAGCAGCTCCCAAACTGATCCCAGGTAAGATCTTCATTTTAGTTTGATTTACAAAAAAAAAAAAAAAAAAAAAAATGGGTCAAGTGCAGACTAAAAATCAATTAACGGCTTATTTATTTGTTCAAAATTTTGTTCTGTTTCAACAGAGAATGATTCAAACTTTTCAAACCAGGAGCGAAACATAATGCTTTGTAAAATAAAAGTTAACACAAGTGAATGTTTTAAAAACACACAAAAGGTGAATTTGTTAATAATTTAATAAAACAACAAAACCTTTGAAAAAAAAAAACTACCCCACCTGTAAAACTGGTCTGGACATGTTACCATATGTGTTTACTCAATAAAGTTCAATGGAATTTCCTGTTTATCAACCACAGTAGATGATGTCATCCCAGACACAAGTCAACAAAGATTTTTACTTTTCAAACTTCAGCATTTAAAACTAGTGCGACGCTCACAGGGATCTGTACTGCTGTCGTTTGAATTGAGTGATTATCTTCTGGCAGTAAAATGTGGCGACTATCTTCAACTGCTTTTGCACCACTTTGCATTTTACTGTCAGGTACCTGCTGCCCTGTGGCTGCAGCCAGCAGGCTGGAGAGAGAAGAGGGAAGTCAGGGAAGTTCTCCTTTTATAGGTATTGCTGTAGGAGCTGCAGAAGGCCTTCATCTGCTGCACTTGAACCAGGCAGTGACAGAAAAATGTAAACATACTGCTGCTCTCTATCCTCACAGAATGCCTTTAGGAGGAGGAAACAAGTGTGGCTGCTGCCAGAAAACGGTGTACTTTGCCGAGGAGGTGCAGTGTGAGGGGAAGAGCTGGCACAAATCCTGTTTCCTGTGCAGTGAGTATTCCTAATCCGCTAACTTTCCCTATTACTTTCTTCAGTAAGACTAAAATCACACGAA